CCGGCGAAATAGTATGTAACAGCCAATTGTAACAGCCTATCACGTGATTTTACTCAGAATGTCAACATGGAAAGAGGCTATTCCATTTTACGCAGGAATAATTGGGAGTAGAATATGTGAGGGATAGTATCAACAGAGATGTGTATACTGAAAAGTAATATCTATCCTTCTTTTGCATCGCTGAGCATTTCTTTTTTAGTATACTGGTTTGAAAATGCTAAATTTGCATGATTTGCGATGTTTTTTTTTTATTAAAACGCCCCTAATGGTTGAATCCCGGGTTTGAAGAAGAATGTAACAGCACACCACGTGGTTTGTTTGAATACAATGGTGAAGTATTGGTACGGTAGGGCACCGTCCGATCTCGATGGAATGTTTCGAATCAGTCATACGTAGTTTAAATTAAGTTAAAAGTTCCTCCACAGAATTGTGCATTGGCAAACATGCCGTCACAACTGCGGTACTCCACTGACGGAATGACTTTCGTCGACAGCGGTCGTTGATGAGCTGCACGCTAGCTACAACTTTGCTTGTGATATTGCTTGTTAGCCGTGGATTGAACGAATCTTGATTTCCGGTAAAAATGTCGCTCATTTGGCGTTGGTAATTTTTATTTGGAACTGGGTAACGCCGCCAGCAGAAACCTCCTGGTACTATGATGTTCATGGTCTATGATAAAGCTCGTCAACATACATCAAGTTCTCTCAATCGTAGTATTCCATGTGGTGTACATCTAATACATTTGTATGCCAAAAATGTTGCTGAACGATTTGAACTGGATAAAAATAGCAGACAAAAATTTGTTCGGTTGCCAATGAAAACATGTTCTTGGCTGTTACCATGGCAGGACATGAACATGAAGCTAACGTCGGTTTATAACTAAAACCGGGTACCTTATACGAAGTTTGCAAAATAACATTCAGTCTTTAGAAGTCACTTTATTTTATTGCTTGGACGTGTTCTGCCGTTAAATGTATTATTTCCAATCGTTTTACGATAGTATTTTCTAGATTGGAGGCAGCATTTACTTTTCATTCAAAATTGCGTTGGGATTACGTTGATTCAGTCACAGGGGCCTGACGATCTATTCGTCTCAATGCATGGAAGTCTATGGGACCGAGCGACTATGTCCGGGTACAGGACCCTGTCCTTGCTCAAAATAATAGAAATTATAGAATTAAAACAGTTTAGTAATGTAAAGCAAGCATATGTTATTAAATTTAATCATCACGCTTTGAAACCACGAAAATCACTAATACTTGTTTCCGACTGATCTCTAAGACAGACCGGAAACAAGACAAAAACAAAAGGTTTTTCAAGTTAGCGTGGGGGAAATAACGTTGCTAAGTATTATCGTCAGGGAAAGCTATTGTTTAAGCTAGTCTGTGATTGGTTGCTGGCAATGTTTGGGGGATTTTGACCAGTTTGTGACGTAGGCTTGTCTTAGAGAAGACAAGGGAGGAAACAAAATGTGCACACATTTTTCTAGCTGCCGAAAATTATACCTCAAAATACAAAATACCTTGTCCAAACCAGTTACAAGTGCTTATAAGACATTGAACTATCGCAAAATGTTGCCCGATTACATATAAATCATATATTTTTCCAGTTTTTACGCATTTATGACAAAATTTGACAATTTCTATTCTCTGTGATACCAGCCTTCAAGTTGCGTCAATCTGCGCATGCGTTCGCGCCCTCAAACGCCAGGATCACATTTCCTTTCTAACCCTTAAAGCGAACCTAAATGCGGCCTTAATTTATAGTTGTGTATATTCTAAACTGTATTCGAAATAATATTGCAGTGGTTTAATTTTGTTTTAATTATAACTGTAGCTTGAATAGGCATTTGAAGTGCTTGCCATGGAGGCCATTCATGGAGGGGAATAATTAACGAACGAACATATTTAACATCCGGGTACTTTTCAAAGCTATGACGTTTTAGTATCTGATCGCATTCGTATACGCCATTGTACATAGCCGTTCATGCTGCCAAGCATTGCATACTATTAGTATAAACTCAACTTTTATATGCACATTGTGCTTTTTAAAACTTGGGTTAGAG